AGACTCGGAGACTCTCTCTGTCAGCTTGTCCTTAAGGTCAAGACTCGGAGACTCTCTCTGTCAGCTTGTACTTAAGGTCAGGACACGGTGACTCTCTCTGTCAGCTTGTCCTCAAGGTCAGGACACGGTGACTCTCTCTGTCAGCTTGTCCTCATGGTCAGGACACGGAGACTCTCTCTGTCAGCTTGTCCTTAAGGTCAGGACACGGAGACTATCTCTGTCAGCTTGTCCTTAAGGTGCAGTACGACGGAGACTCTCTCTGTCCCCATCTTGTTCCTTTGTCAAGACACGTAGGAATATCTCTGTCAGCTACACGGAGAATATCTCTGTCAGCTTGTACTTAAGGTCAAGACACGGAGATCTACTCTGTCACTTGTCCTTAAGTTCATACACGGAGAATATCTCTGTCAGCTTGTCCTTAAGGTCAAGACTTCGTAGACTCTCTCTGTCAGCTTGTCCTTAAGGTCAAGACTCGGAGACTCTCTCTGTCAGCTTGTCCTTAAGGTCAGGACACGGAGAATATCTCTGTCAGCTTGTCCTCAATGTCAGGACTCGGAGAATATCTCTGTCAGCTTGTACTTAAGGTCAAGACACGGAGAATATCTCTGTCAGCTTGTCCTTAAGGTCAGGACACGGTGACTATCTCTGTCAGCTTGTCCTTAAGGTCAGGACACGGTGACTATCTCTGTCAGCTTGTCCTTAAGGTCAGGACACGGTGACTATCTCTGTCAGCTTGTCTTTAAGGACAAGACACAGAGAATATCTCTGTCAGCTTGTGACTATGGTCAAGGCAAGGGGTTAGATATGATCTACTTACCTCATGATGGGTGAGAGTCCGGGTAATGTGTTTGCGCTATAAGCTCCATCCATGGAAAAATTCGTGGCGTAGCGGCTAAAAGCTTGCTTGCAGATCTGAAGACCGTGGTTTTATACTCATCTGGAGCTGGACTTTTATTCAAACTTGAACTTGGTTCCTAGGTCAACCCAGCCTTAAATGGGAACAATGTTTAAAAAGTCGTTGGAGGTCAAGCGGTCGGCGCCATGTTAACCACTTCACCCATCGAGTGTCAGATTTTCTATAAAACATAGGTATACCAATAGATAGGAGTCGCCGGGGTCTAGCGGCTAGACGCTAGCCTGCGGATCGGAAGGTCTTGGGTTCGGTTCCTGACAGATGCAAGGTTGTTGTTTTTTTTTAAGTGAGTTTGGCTTCCAGGTCGATCTAGCCTTGAGTGGGGCTAGGTAAAGTCCTGGGAAGTAAAGGCGGCCGGCGTAATTTGACCACATCACCCACCAAGTGCCGTTTGGTCTATAAAATATAGTTCTAGCTCTATATACCCAATACTCCTGAAAGGCGTGAAAAAGGGTCTTTAACTTTACCAATTGATGCTCAGTATGCCTGATAGCTTGAAAAACAGAATCCTTTACTTGAGACTTCAATGTGCAGCTGTAAAAGGTAATGAAAGAGCTGATTAACTGGCAAGTCAGGTAGCAGCACAAGCGGAAAGCAAAATGGACTGTGCTGATATAATCAATGATGCTTTTAGTTCATCAGGTTTATCTCATTTGGCTCGGTCTGTTTTACCAGAACGGCTAGCCACTGGCTGAGGGCGTCTCGCAAAGTACGAAATCCGTAACTCTAGTGATAACCCCCAAGTTTCCCTGTTAAACACAACTATCGTGAACTGAACGAAGCGTCCCTGAAATGTACTTCAGAGCGTTAGGCAACTTGACCACTTCGCCATTGACACCCAAGACTCTACGTTTTGGGATCGAATCCTAATTGAGGTAGATTCCTATAGCTGACAGGAACTCCCAGGTCAGTGCATACTAAAATAAGCGCAGGAAAATGACCTGGAAATTACTGATGGCCGAACTCATGCCGACTACATCACACTCGACCTAGGGCACCGCGAGTAGGAGGGAACATTATGGGGTGAAAACAAGATTTCTATAGTAGTGACCATAGTGTGTATATCAAGGACTTTATTCTGTACAGTTCTACAATAAAACGTTTCAGTAACATGATTATGTAAAATTCTTCAAAAACATGTTTCAGTAATATTATTCTGTAAAGTTCGTCAATAACATGTTTCAGTAATATTATTATTCTGTAAAATGCTTCAATAACATGTTTTAGTACCATTATTCTGTAAAATTCTCCAGTAACATGTTTCAGTAATATTATTCTGTAAAATTCTCCAATAACATGTTTCAGTAACATTATTCTGTAAAATTCTAAAATAACAAGTTACAGTAACATTATTCGGAATATTATTCAATAACATGTTACAGTAACATTATTCTCTAAAATTCTTAAATAAAATGGTTTAGTAACGTCATTCTGTAAAATTCTTCAAAAGGATGTTTCAGTAACATTATTTTGTAAAATCCTTAAATAAAATGGTTCAGTTTCATCATTCTGTAAAATTCTTCAAAAACATGTTTTAGTAACATTATTCTGCAAGTTTCTAAAATAAAATGGTTCAGTAACATCATTCTGTAAAATTCTTCAAAAACATGTTTCAGTTACATTATATTGTTAAATTCTTCAATAACATGTTTCAGTAGCAATATTCTGTAAAATGAAACACCAGTCATCCTATATAATTATTCTATGAAATTAAGCTATGTGACATGTTCAAGATTACCTAGGATTCATTGTGTGGCCCCTGATTCTGCACCCTGGCTGATGGATTTAATCATGACAGTGTGGATATGGTCAGGACACGTTGGGAGCGAATTAATAGTGCGGAGCTTTAGGGGCAAGTTAATAGTGCGGAGCTTTAGGGGCAAGTTAATAGTGCAGAGCTTTAGGGGCAAGTTAATAGTGCAGAGCTTAAGTGGTAAGTTTATAGTGCGGAGCTTTAGGGGCAAGTTAATAGTGCGGAGCTTTAGGGGCAAGTTAATAGTGCAGAGCTTTAGGGGCAAGTTAATAGTGCGGAGCTTTAGGGGCAAGGTAATAGTGCAGAGCCACGAAGTGATTGTTACGTTCTAGAGATGTTGCTCCAGCTAGGAGTGAAAGGGATCTGGTCAACACTCTGCTTTTTGGGGGAGGGTCAGATGGACATATAGTCAGACCCTCATGGTTGGAACTCTTCACTACCTACTGAAGGTTAGGACGGTGGTGCTTATGTAAATAATCGGGGTTCTGTGATGTCGATGCATAGGTCAACAGTCATCTTCCGTGGTCAAGCGGTTCAGAAATTTGATTATAGCTCTGAAAGTCGCGTGTCTGATATCCGACTTCGTCATTTGATTTCCGAGAACAAGTATTTTGGAGTTCCTGGTGTTGTCATTAGAGCTACTTAATGCAACTTTCCAAAAGGGCGAATAGCCGCAATTCTGAGAGAGATTGTGCCATAAAACCCAGAGCAATGAAATCAATACTTTTGCTTTAAAGGGTTCCTTTAGGTCGGTGCTTTTGCTTTCAATGTATATGTGAAACTGTTTTCAGAATTACCTCAGTTATCGAGCTTTCGGAAATGGGAGCACTGACGATTTCTGGCAAGCACTAACAGCGGTAACTATCTTTACAATCGTACCTCGAGTCACAAACTTCATTCGTTCTTTGACTCCACTCGCGAACTGTTGGCAGGCAGAAACAAATGTTCCCGTTGAAATTATTGCACATTTAATCATTCCGTTTGCCCGTTTGTGAAGTCGCTTTATCCTTCGCTATTGCATGCAGCTCCCCCCAAGTCCTCCCTGTCTTTTTTAACTTCACTCACCAGTTTCCTTTTCCATATGTTTTAACCTGCCTTTATCTCTGAAATCGCAGTGGATTCCCGTGCAAAGACATTCTCGTTGTATTGCTATCAGATTTTCTCAGTGTGTGTCTAATCTAACGCCAGCGTCTTTTCCTCATCTCTTGGTTCACTGGAGCTTGTTTAGTTTTCTCCCAAAACTCAACCCTAGTGATTCTATCATACCATAACATTCCCTCTTTTCTGCGCAGGCACAAGTTTGTAGTTTATTTGTAACTGTTTTAGTTGCATTAGAAATAACAATTTAAAGTTTAGTACTAGTTTTAGTTTCTTTTGACTTTCATAAATTTCCTGGTACTATCAAAGCTTTTCTTGCCTTTTGCATTTCTATTTTAATATCGCTATCAATTCCCCCGATCTTTATCTGCACTACTGCCCAAATACGTGTATGACTCTAAGTTTCGGAGGGGGATACGAATTCCATTCCTTGTGCTAGATATTGCTGTATTTATCTTGTTTGTGCCAGCGTGTGTATGTTTCTGTGGATATTTGTGTCTGCCTATGTATGTTTGCGTGTTTGTATCGGTGTGTTCCTCTATCTCTGTTTCCACAGATCTTTCCAGCTGTCACAAACAATAGGTTTCTGATATCATAGGTTGCTAGCCGCCGAAGTGTAGCAGCTAGACGTTCACCTGCGGATCGGAAGGTCATGCGTTCAGATCCTGGCGAAGCCAGTTATCTCTCCCCACCCCCTCCCCCACCCCATTAATGACCTTGACTTCCAGCTAGACCGAACCTTAAATAGGCACCTGGTAAAGTCATGGGAAGTAAATGTGGCCGGTGTGATGCTGACCACATCACCCATCGAGTGCCGATTGGTCTAGCCCTATATGCCCAATAAGTCTTAAATCGTTGAAAATGGTTCTTTACTTTTCTGTAATCTTATATTGTGACCTACCAGCCACTATCTTTTCCAGAAGTCAAAACTCTCATTAGGAGAAAACCAGGAACAGATTGAAAAACCAACACTGGTTGTAACTACGGAAAAGATTTTCTGAAGCACCTGAACAGAACAGACCAAGTCACAGTTTTTCGCTTAAGTACTGGACACTTCAGACTCAATAAACGCTTACATAAATTAGGTATGAGCCAAACAGCTCTCTGCCAGTGTCTTCGTGCTGAACAGACTCCAGAACATGACCTGCAAGACTGTCCTCTCTTGACGGAGCTACGGAGCGACATATGGCAACACCCAGTAGAACTGACAACTAAGCTTTGGGGAAACCTAAGAGACCTTGGAAAAACATCCCAGTTTATGGCCCACAGTGGATTATGCGCATGACCAGAGATCGCTGAAGAAGATATTGTGGCCAAGATGCAATGACTGACTCTTTCTGGTGTTTGTGATAGACTGCCTACCATCAGTTGGTAGAGTCTTTCAAACAATCTGTATAACATCTAGATTTTGCTTTTAAGCGAATTTGAAGACATTTTCTTTTTCGTTTTCCTATCTTTAAATATTATATAAATATTTTCTTTAGCAAGCGAAACGTCAAGGACTGAACCTCAATGTCAAGGAAATTATGGATACTTGGGTGCTTCAGAAAAACTATCCTGTGGTCACGGTGACACGAGATGTGAATGACCACAAAATGATACAAGTTACCCAAGAGCGCTTCCTGCTACAAGATGTCGTATATCCTGACAAACATGATTCGCCATTCAAGTGAGTGTCACTTGTTCAGCTTATTCTTCCTATTCACTGGCGGTTAGGTCCAGAGGAAAAGTTGTAATTGTTCGTCTACTCTTGGACTCACGTCTTGATTCATGGCCTGAGTTTTGCGTGTATATCAATTTTACAAATCTGGTTTATGTGCAGGCAGACTGTTGATTCCTTGCCTCTTATACAAGATTGGGGGAGGGGGGGTGCTGGGATGTGGGATGGTCCAGTGTGTTGTAGATTCCTTGATTAAATTGGGGAAGGGGGTTTGCTTAGACCATCGGGGAAGTGGGAGTGGAGCGGTACCTCACGTGAAGTTGATGGGCATTGCATAAAAAATAAGGTAGAGAGAGAGAGAGAGAGAGAGAGAGAGAGAGATAGAGAGAGAGAGAGAGAGAGAGAGAGAGAGAGAGAGAGAGAGAGAGAGAGATACAGACAGACAGAAAGCGTGATAGAGAAAGAGACAGGCAGACAGAGAATATTTGTATACACGTTTTCAATATTGTTTAGCAGATGATAAGTGTCTTGATTGCTTAATTCCCGCACAAAAACACAGAAATTATTTCATAAAAAATGTTGTTTCTTTTCAGAAACGTTAATTTCAATATTTTTCTTGAGTTTGGTTTTAATGTTACACACACACACACACCCACACACTCCCACACACACACACCCCACACACACACACACACACGCACACACGCACACACGTACGCACACACACACACACGAGGATGGGGGTGGATTGATAAACATTGTACGCTCTAATGACAACACAAAGACTTACTAATTAGCGGGACGTGAAGCATCTGCCGGCAGCAGAGACAGTCACTGTTTTCAACTATACACTCTCAACAGATAGAACAGTTTCAGTCAATAAACAGCTGCTATGTTCAAGTACTCAAAATCAGCCATCCATGCCATTTCGTGCTCTAAACAGGACAACATAATCTAGGAAACTGTAAACATCAGAATATTCTCCAGATCAGAATCACAACAGGAAAGATCTGAACAGACTGTAGTGTCGTTAGAAATGTAAATGCGGATAAACTCACCATGGCTACAGGGATCCTCATGCAGACCCCCTGACCCCTCCCCCTTTCTTTTTCTCTGCCCTAATGTCCCCGGTTTTTAACACGCAAAGAAAACACGTAAAACAGTTTTTGAAATTAAACTGGAAGAAGAAAGGGGGGGGGGGGATAACAGATCAGAGCGTGATGCTTGAAGCAGGAACAACGATAAATACATCATTTTATTTGTTCTATTAGACGCTAGTTGCGTATCCTTTACAGGACGTTACAGAACCAACCCTGGCTGTTGTGTGCTTTTTTTAAGGCAAATATACCTCCAGCAGTTTGCCGTTGCTTTCTGGACGGTCTGCCCCCTGATACCACTATTAAAACCAAAACAAGGCGCATGGCCCGCAGCTGGGATCCAGCACCAGGTGCACTAATGGGAAGTAAAGGCAGCCGGCGTGATGGTAACCATCTAACCCACCAAGTGCCGATTGGTCTATACAAATATAGGCCTAGCCCTATATGCACAGTACGCCTGAAAGGCGTGGAAAAAGATTCTTTATGAGAACTGCTTGATGGCTACTGAGGAGATGGTGGCGAATGACGTTTAGGAATTCAAGAGTCTTGATTCGTTCATTCAGAAAATGAAGATGGACGACGTCGTTATGGAGGCCTCCCTTGCAAGAAGGTAAGTCTGCTTGCCCGTTGCTCTGAAGATTGGGGTTTTTCGATTTAACCTCTTCATTTCTCCACTGTAAATAATTGGGATATCTATCTATGAATGGTCTTCGCTGGAGCTAAGGCGTTTCGTTCTGTGTACGATATATATATCGATATATATATATATTATATATATATATATATATATATATATATATATATATATATATTATAACAAGCCCATGCACATACGCTTGTAAATATACACACCTTTATATATATTTATTTGCATATATGTAGAACGAGAGAGAGAGAAAGAAGAGAGAAAAGAGAGAGAGAGAAAGAAGAGAGAAAGAGAGAGAAAGAAGAGAGAAGGAAGAGAGAAAGAAGAGAGAGAGAACGAAGAGAGAAAGAAGAGAGAGAGAGAGAGAGAAAGACGAGAGAAACAAGAGAGAGAGAGAGAGAGAGAGAGAGAGAGAGAGAGAGAGAGAGAGAGAGAGAGAGAGAGAGAGAAAGACTGGTCGAGAAATATAATTCGGCTTTTCTTTTCTGATCTTTTCTAATTTGGAGGTTGAAATGATTCATTCCACAAACTGTAACAACATGATTTCTTATTTCTGTCAACCCCGCAGTTATCGATGGACTATTCCACTGACCTTCACCTCCAGCTCAAGTCCTAATTTCTCATTCCCGGTCTCAAGTAAAATTTACTGGTTGCATAAGGATGAGCATACAAGTGAGTGGCCAAACTGTTTTTCTTTTCTTTTTTCTACCCCACCAGGACATCACACAAAGTGCCACCCTGTGGATGAGGATCACCGTGTAGAGGTCTTAGAAACCGCGTTCAGCCATTAGGATATATTGCAGCCCCTGGCATGAGCCAGAGTAGGGATTCAAAAAACGAAAAATGGTATCCTAAAAAGGACGGCAAGATGGCTTGAAGCTAACTTTATGACTGTAACTGTGTAGCAAACTGTAGGCTTGGCTTGGCTTTTTTACCCCACCAGGACATCACACAAGCGATAAACACCCGATGACACAAAGTGCCACCCTGTGGATGAGGATCACCGTGTAGAGGTGTTAGAAACCGCGTTCAGCCATTAGGATATATTGCAGCCCCTGGCATGAGCCAGAGTTGGGATTCAAAAAACGAAAAATGGTATCCTAAAAAAGACGGCAAGATGGCTTGAAGCTAACTTTATGACTGTGACTGTGTAGCAAACTGTAGAGCAGTCCAATAATCTAGCGGTGTTAGGGTGTGAACAGAATTCAGTGGGACAATACCAACAAACACTTTTGTGCTCTGGCACGAGAATAAAACTGATCGTTGTCAGTCCGACTGCCCCAAAGATATCGACTAACCTTAACCCATAACAGCCCTAGAATTATGGACGTTGCCCTATTTCCTTTCTTTGGAGTGAATTAAAAATGAAGTACCGTGGGTTATGTGAACAGCTTAATTACTGTCCCTTTTTTATTATAGGAAAATTGGTAAGGTATACTTCTCGTTTGGTGTAAGTTCAAGGATCTGGAACAAATTAAGGACGTATTTCAAGCGACCATAGTATTTCTTTGCTTTCTATGATCCATGACGTACGGCGTTAGAGATCATGTCTGTCCCCAGCTCCCTATCTTGTTTACTGACAATCATACTGGCAGTATATACAGATGACCTTTTATGTCATGATCCCAGACAAAGCAACAAGTTCTCTCTCTCTCTCTCTCTCTCTCTCTCTCTCTCTCTCTCTCTCTCTCTCTCTCTCTCTCTCTCTCTCTCTCTCTCCCTAGCCTCTTGCACTCCCACCCCCTTCCCCCCACCGAAACCACACTACAATGTACTCCAACTTTCTCTTAGATTATCCACCTAGGATGCGAATGTTCAGTTCTTTTGGTCAGTTACTTTCTTTCTTGACATTTTCATTGTGGTTTTTGTTTGTTTCATCTATCCGTAGTTTTCTCATTACTTATCTTTAAATCTACATTTTGACAGCTTCCTCATAAATGTTCATTTTTTGTCGCCAAATTGTCCATGATTTACTTCTGTATATCATGATGTGGGAGTCCTCATGGCGGAGCGGCTAGACGCTCGCCGCAGATCGGAAGGTCGTGGGTTCGCTCCCTGGCGCAGCCGGACTTTTCTCAAAAAGACCTTGGCTCCCAGGTCGACCCAGCTTTGAGTGGGTACCAGGTGCAGTCTCGGGAAGTAAAGGCGGCCGGCGTGATGCTGACCACATCTACCATCTTGTGCCGATGGTCTATAAAAGTATGTCTAGCTTATTATGCCCTATCCGCATAAGGGCGTCGAAAAGGGTCCATAACTTACTTTCTTATCATGATGTGTCCTATATATGTATAATTAGTCATTGTCATTCACAATTAATTTCTCTATACGTGTATTATTCGTAACTTTCACTTAACAATAATCGTACTTTATCGATATAATTCGTTATTTTTTTTTTTTACTACCAGGTAATAGCATTAAAAGTAAATGACCATTTTCCAAGGCCTTTAGACGTATTAGGCATATAGGGCTAGACCTAAATTTTATTGACCAAATGCGAATTAGTGGGTGATGTGGTCAGCATCACGCCGACCGTCTGGTCCCCACTCAAGGCTGGGTCGACCCAGGAGCCAGGTTCGTTTTCAAAAATAAAAGGTACGGTTTCGGCAGGACCCAAAACTACGACCGTATGTCGACCGTCTAGCCACTACATCACAGCGACTTCATCGCATTAAACTTCTACAAATACTAAATTTCTCGACGATAAGTTGATTTTTGTTTGTCTAAATAGCATCTTATGTGTGTTTTGTACGATAAAACTTCTGTTTGAAACTCTAGAAACGTTTAGTTCTGTGATGCAACTCTCCGACTGTGGGGCATCCGATAGTTGGATTCTGGCCAACGTCCATCAGTTGTTCTACTACCGGGTCAACTACGACAAGGGCAACTGGCTGGCCTTGAGCAAACAGTTAAAGACGAATCACTCTGTGAGTACAATACACTGTTCACTGTATCTTCTTCCTTTTTTAAATCTGTCTCTCAGTACACCAGGCAGCCATTGGTTGTCACACAAAGCACGAACTCCGTAGCTCCAGCGACGATCCAGAGAGATGTCAGTCAGAATTGCACTTAGTAACCGTAGGGCGCAGGCAAGGAACGAACCCATTGCCTGCAGCGAGAGGCAATTGGCTTGACTACTTAGCTGCGGAGACACACCCCATTCCCCTCCCCACCACACAACCACCACAAACGTATTTTTTGGGGGGGACCAATTTATATTTGTTTGCTTTATTTTCCCCTTCGTTTGTTCATTTGTTTTCACGATAGCTTTCCTGTCCTTACTTTTCGCATTCTCGCTATATGTGACCTGTTCGTTGGCTTGTAGTTTTCAATTTATCTCTCTCTCTCTCTCTCTCTCTCTCTCTCTCTCTCTCTCTCTCTCTCCTCTCTCTCTCTCTCTCTCTCTCTCTCTCTATCTATCTATCTATCTATCTGTCTTTCTTCCTCTCTCTCTCTCTCTTTCTCTCCCTTTCTTTCTCTCTCTCTTCCTTTCTTTCTCTCTCTCTCTCTCTCTCTCTATCTATCTATCTATCTATCTATCTATCTATCTATCTATCTTTCTCTCTCTCTTTCTCTCTCTCTCTTTCTCTCCCTTTCTTTCTCTCTCTTCCTTTCTTTCTCTCTCTCTCTCTCTCTAACTCTCTCTCTCTCTAACTCTCTCTCTCTCTCTCTCTCTCTCTCTCTCCCTCTCTCCTCTCTCTCTCTCTCCTCTCTCTCTCTCTCTCTCTCTCTCTCTCTCTCTCTCGCTCGCTTTCCCTTTGTCGATAAATATTTCGGTTGATTCATTTCATGGTAAATTCAGAAAACAGGAAGAGAAGATCGACATGAGGTACAAATAATCCACATCTTTATACAGAGACAAAGCCTCAATGTTGAATATGTTGAAGCACTTGGAGTGTGTTGAGTCATGAGTTTCTCAAAGACAATTCAGTTGTCTTCTCTAGGCAGGCATTAACACAAACATCATAGATGTCAAAGACTACTGTATCATGCAAAGATTGTCAAAGACTAGTGTATCATGCAAAGATTGTCAAAGACTACGGTATCCTGCAAATATTGTCAAAGACTAGTGTATCATGCAAAGATTGTCAAAGACTACGGTATCCTGCAAAGATTGTCAAAGACTACTGTATCATTTAAAGATTGTCAAAGACTACTGTATCACGCAAAGATTGTCAAAGACTACGGTATCATGCAAAGATTGTCAAAGACTACTGTATCATGCAAAGATTGTCAAAGACAAGTGTATCATGCAAAGATTATCAAAGACTACGGTATCCTGCAAAGATTGTCAAAGACTACTGTATCATGCAAAGATTGTCAAAGACTACTGTATCATGCAAAGATTGTCAAAGACTACTGTATCATGCAAAGATTGTCAAAGACTACTGTATCACGCAAAGATTGTCAAAGACTACGGTATCATGCAAAGATTGTCAAAGACTACTGTATCATGCAAAGATTGTCAAAGACTACGGTATCATGCAAAGATTGTCAAAGACTACTGTATCATGCAAAGATTGTCAAAGACTACTGTATCGCGAAAAAATTGTCAAAGACTACAGTATCATGCAAAGATTGTCAAAGACTACTGTATCATGCAAAGATTGTCAAAGACTACTGTATCATGCAAAGATTGTCAAAGACTACTGTATCATGCAAAGATTTTCAAAGACTACTGTATCATGCAATGATTGCCAAAGACTACGGTATTCATGAAAAAGATGGTCAAAGACTAATGTATCATGCAAAGATTATCAAAGACTACTGTATCATACCGCAAAAATTGTCAAAGACTACTGTATCATGCAAAGAATACATCAAAGTACTCATGCATTGCCAAAGACTACTGTATCATGCAAAGATTGTCAAAGACTACAGTATCATGCACAGATTGTCAAAGACTACTGTATCATGCAAAGATTGTCAAAGACTACTGTATCATGCAAAGATTGTCAAAGACTACTGTATCACGCAAAGATTGTCAAAGACTACTTTATCATGCAAAGATTGTCAAAGACTAATGTATCATGCAAAGATTGTCAAAGACTACTGTATCATGCAAAGATTGTCAAAGACTAATGTATCATGCAAAGATTGTCAAAGACTACTGTATCATGCAAAGATTGTCAAAGACTACTGTATCATGCAAAGATTGTCAAAGACTACTGTATCATGCAAAGATTTTCAAAGACTACTGTGTCATGCAAAGATTGTCAAAGACTACTGTATCATGCAAAGATTGTCAAAGACTACTGTATCATGCAAAGATTGTCAAAGACTACTGTATCATGCAAAGATTGTCAAAGACTACTGTATCATGCAAAGATTATTAAAGACTACTGTGTCATGCAAAGATTGTCAAAGACCACTGTATCATGCAAAGATTGTCAAATACTACTGTATCATGAAAAGATTGTCAAAGACTACATTATCATGCAAAGATTGTCAAAGACTACTGTATCATGCAAAGATTTTTAAAGACTACTGTATCATGCAATGATTGCCAAAGACTACGGTATCATGCAAAGATTGTCAAAGACTATGGTATCATGCAAAGATTGTCAAAGACTACTGTATTACGAAAAAATTGTCAAAGACTACTGTATCATGCAAAGAATATCAAAGACTACTGTATCATGCAATGATTGCCAAAGACTACTGTATCATGCAAAGATTGTCAAAGACTACTGTATCATGCAATGATTGCCAAAGACTACTGTATCATGCAAAGATTGTCGAAGACTACTGTATCATGCAATGATTGCCAAAGACTACTGTATCATGCAAAGATTGTCAAAGACTACTGTGTCATGCAATGATTGCCAAGACTACTGTATCATGCAAAGATTGTCAAAGACTACTGTATCGTGCAAAGATTGTCATAGACTACTGGATCATGCAAAGATTGTCAAAGACTACTGTATCATGCAAAGTTTGTCATAGACTACTGTATCGTGCAAAGATTGTCAAAGACTACTGTATCATGCAAAGATTGTCAAAGACTACTGTATCTTGCAAAGATTGTCAAAGACTACTGTATCATGCAAAGATTGTCGAAGACTACTGTATCATGCAATGATTGCCAAAGACTACTGTATCATGCAAAGATTGTCAAAGACTACTGTGTCATGCAATGATTGCCAAGACTACTGTATCATGCAAAGATTGTCAAAGACTACTGTATCGTGCAAAGATTGTCATAGACTACTGGATCATGCAAAGATTGTCAAAGACTACTGTATCATGCAAAGTTTGTCATAGACTACTGTATCGTGCAAAGATTGTCAAAGACTACTGTATCATGCAAAGATTGTCAAAGACTACTGTATCATGCAAAGATTGTCAAAGACTACTGTATCATGCAAAGTTTGTCATAGACTACTGTATCGTGCAAAGATTGTCAAAGACTACTGTATCATGCAAAGATTGTCAAAGACTACTGTATCATGCAAAGATTATCAATAAAAGAACATATTTCTTTTACAGATAATTCGTCCTATAAACAGGGCGCAGATAATCAATGATGCGTGGAGCCTGGCTAGGTAAGACAATTTAATTTTGCCAAAATATGCTGGCTAAAGAACCGATGTCATTTGCTTCTAGACATTCTCACAAAAGCTTCTTTCGCATCTTTAGCAGACAGTAAATTTCCTTTGAGTGAACAGTGTCGGCCAGAACCACTTTTCATCAGACCCCACCCCACCACCAAGCCCAGTCGATACAATAATGGTCTATTTGCCACTTTTGCATTATTTAATTGATCCCATAGGGTCTTGACCACGTTTACATTGTCATACATTTGTTCATCATTGATTGGTGCAGACTCAACCAATCAGTTCATTTCTCAACACATGTGAATTGCAATGAGAGCAGGTGCAACGGATTCTACAGATCCAACAAGGGTGTTAGACCGCTCATAGTTGAAAGGCCTAGAAGATCTCGAAGCCTTGACTTTCCTGGATTTGAAAAGCAATACTGAACATGGCAGATGGTAACTTCCATGATCGCCCAGGACAGTCCATTTGTGTCCAGTACTGCTGACTGGGTAACCAGAGCCAGGTCAATAGCCGCGTCTGCATCGCCGGGCCTCATTGCCATTTTAGTCGGCGTCCCATCATTTAAACAGACAAGGTCTGAATCAACCATGGCCTCAGCAAGGGCAACTCCCTGTCGGTTTTCCCCAGTACTGTCCCATTCATTGTTCCGTGCATTAAAATCCCCACAAATAAAGAGCCTGTTGCCAGGAATCCCCTCCAGTCTTTCAACCAGTCCCACTGTTGCCAGAAATCCCCTCCAGTCTTTCAACCAGTCCCACTGTTGCCAGGAATCCCCTCCAGTCTTTCAACCAGTCCCACTGTTGCCAGGAATCCCCTCCAGTCTTTCAACCAGTCCCACTGTTGCCAGGAATGCCCTCCAGTCTTTCAACCAGTCCCACTGTTGTTCTGTAACTAAAGAACCTACGGCAGCATATATATTAATTATGTTCCAACGTAGGCCACCAATCTCCATCTGTATTCCCTGCACCTCTCTAGCATCGTTGTTCCAGAGACAGGTCAAGCACCATATGTTTCAAGCCCTCCTTTACAAGCAGACATTGCCCATGCCTCCCATGATTGATGCCCAGCAGAAGATGAGGACGGAGCATGCATGGGAAACCCCCGAGTGCTATGATGTCAATTCTTGACTCAACTCAACTACAGATCCAACGGATGCTACAGATCCAACGGATGCTACAGATCCAACGGATGCTACAAATCTAACAGACGCTACAGATCCAACGGATATTAACGATACAGGATCTTGGAAGCAGTAATTGTCATACTGTAGGGAGTATGCTTTGCTCCATCTCTCTCGACGTGTTTTGTGCGTGCAGCTAGTTCATAGGACCGCATAAAGCTGCTGCTAAAGACTACTCGTCCATTCCCAAACCTGATGCTTTGGCGTCATTACCGAGGTCTTGTTGCCCTAAGCGACGTCACAGGGAACACATCCTCCTAACTTGCCTCCTAGCTAAAAAGCGTCGTTTCTCCAACTAACACTACTCTTTATATATACTACACTGCTGCTTCCTGAATAAATCATCATCATCATCATAAACCACTTTTGCCGTTAAACGGCGTGGGGAGGAATAATTTGCGATGCGTTGCACTTTGGCTGCCACTGGCTATCGTCATACTGTGAAGGCGTAGAGTGTCTTTAATGTTGTCGAGCCATGTTTTTCGCGGCCGTCCTCTTGCTCTTGTAGCTGATCTTCTAAAATGTTTTGCTTGTGATGGTATTTGATCTTGCGACATTCTAACAAGATGGCCAAACCACTTAATCTGCTCTTTCTCGATGAATCTATTACAAGGTGTCGTTCCAACAATTTGCCTGATAGTTTCATTATTCACTCGATCTCGGGTGGTTAGGTTGGCGGCTTTTCTCAGGCACCTCATCTCGCCATGCTGGTCCTAAAACTTGGTCAACGTTTGTAGTCTCACAACTGTCCTCTCTCACACTAGACAGTTATAGGGATATCCATTCAATACTAGTGTCACCCTCACACGTTAGTCTATTCTTTGTTTTTGCCACTGTCATCTGCGCTAGCGGACAACTTAGTAATACTTGAACTATCTTGTAACATGTTAACAGTTGAAATAATCTTGAAACGTTTGAATGCTAAAACATTGGAAACAATTCAAAGATGCCCAACAGGAGCCGTCCACAGACTCTGAAGGACGAATCTGGTCTCCATGACGAAGTGGTCAAACCGTTTGCCTCGCGCTCTGAAGGTGGTGGATTCGTTTCACTGCGGCATCATTCTGATCATAAGAGAAATTTTTACGGAGATCCCAGGGGATCGTCACCGGAGTTAAGGATGTCCTGTTCGATGCGACGCTTTCGGCCGGTGAGTCTCTTCGGTGAGTCAGCCAAGTGGAATAAACCAGGTGCAATAAAGTCGATCCTCTGACCATACTTAACCTTTACGTTGAAAAAAAGCATCGACAAAGAATCGAAGAAAAATAGACGAAGAACCTCTTGAAGAACTTACAAAGAACCGACAGAGAATTACGAATCTTCCTGTGCAGGTCCTGATATAGGTTAGTTGCGTATCCCTTACAGGACGTCGCAGAACCAACCCCAACAGCCCCTGGCAGTTGTGTGGTTTTTCTAGGCAAATTTACGTCCAGTAGTTTCCCATTGCTTTCTTAAAACCACTGTCGAAACCAATGCAAGGCGCATGGCCCGTAGCTGGGATCGAACCCGGCATCCCGGCATTACGAAGCGTTCGCATCGACTTAGCCACAAAGCCGACGTCTTGATAAAGCTGAAGACTGTTGGAAGAGTGCCTGAGTGTTGCACACATAGTTAATGCTTTATTTGTGCTGCATGGAATTCTGGGAGTGCAATGCCCTCACTAGCTTTATGTGTTGTGTATCATCTGTTTCGGCAGAACTTTTAATCTAGACTAACTATAGTTTGTTTCAGCTAAACCTCTAATCTAGACTAACTATAGTCTGTTTCTGACCTGACTGACTGAGGTACATGACAGCATCTGTCCTGAGTCTGACCCAAAAGCAGGTTGGAGACTGTCATGGTAGCAGGTGTGGAAATCTGGGCCACTTCAGTCTAACGTCAAAGAGAGTTACCTTCCAGAAGGCTGGATGGGCGCTGAGCGTGAACTCCTAGCGGCAACCATCATAAACCAAATACCTTTAGCAGTTTCTCGTGTCTCGTTTTGTGTCGGCAAAGACTAGAAAGTGTTACATGAGAGTCCCGAAACCCGAGTGGGGTTGGCCAGCCGCTAAAGATTGTTAAGAAACTAAAACGACTGAAACGTTTATTGAACATGGACTGCTTCTGCGAATCGGTAGTTAGACACCTGTTGTGTTCAATCCCCCAAGGAGTACCTACTACACTGCGCAGTGTAGGGTACTGAGGCCTTTAGGCATTGAGAACTCATCCTGATAGGTGAAGTATTCTGGAAATGCCCTCTCTGGTTGATAATCCCAAATTCTGATATTCACTGACCCTGGTGTTTTATTCACCCCCTTTCCCCTTTCCTCCCCGCGTGAAACCTTTCTTGGTGACGGCGCCTCTGTTGAATATTTTAAATATAGTTTGAAGACATATTTCTAGACAGGCTAACAGATGTTGCCTATGTCTGTTTCTCAGGGCTCAATATATTGAACTAGAGACAGCCCTGTCAACTCTTGAGTACTTGCACAACGAACGAGACTACCTTCCCTGGGTAACAGCTCTAAAGCAACTTCGGTATATTGGATTAATGCTGATAGATTTTCCAGCACTGCGTGAGTTTGAAGAGGCAAGTATTTTATCTCTTGTTCGCGGTGTACGGTAATCACTTTTGGGAAAAGGGGGAGGGGTGTGGAGGATGGGGTGGGGATGGGAGGGGGGTCGATACACGGCCACCTGATATGTGTGTCGTACAATGCGAATTAGAGATGTTTCCTTCGAAGTCAGAGTCCATCTGCCAAAGAGGCAAGGAACTAGCTGTCTGCAAACAAATAAGCCAGATCTGTTTAAAGGATGTGCATACAAAGTCAAGTTCTCGAACAACGCCCAAAAAATGACGAACACCTAGAATTTTCTCCCGGAGTATATATATATATATATATATATATATATATATATATATATATATATATATATATATATATATATATATATATATATATATATATATATATATATACTCCGGGAGAAAATTCTAGGTGTTCGTCATTTTTTATATATATATATACGGTGAAAGCTCTGAGTACGATCTCGTGTAATTTCGTTTTCGGTATAAATGTGTGCTGGGAAACGAACAGGCAGATAGACTGGTTGGCTCTGCACAACTTGGTGACTTAGTGATTTATAATAAGGCAAATGTGATTAAGGCTTCATGAGAGCAAATGTACAATTCGGAGAAGCAGATAAATCAACCAGATCTGGAGACAGGGATGCAGCGAAGAGTGACAAGGGGTTCTCGAAGATTCTCCATGCTCAGAGGAAAGGCAAGACGGACATAAAATCGCACTGCTGCTGGTACAATTGGTTGTGGGAATTTGTGCTGGCTGCTGAAGATGGGGACGGAGCGCTCATGAGAATGCCCCTAGTACTGTGATGTCGGTTCTGTATCAGCTCAACTGAACTATCTTGTATCTCTCCTGTCAGAACATAGTGCTTTGTGCAAAGAATTCAAAATCGTTCAGTCGTTCTAAATTAAAAACAATTTTTTCATATCGATAATAATAGAAACTAAACTTCTCTAGGGTACCAACAAACTCAGACTGTAAAACGTATGTTCCTAATTACAGCACACTGTAAATATATTAACAGATTAGATCATAGTTTAATACAGACATAAATAAATATATAAATAAATAAAAACGTTGTGTCTACTATACTGTGATTAATCCTCTAAATACATAAACAAACGGACAGTGTATTGATCGGCGCTCAGAGAAAGAAGTAGAAAGATAGAACTATTTAGACAACATACAAATTGAAAGCTGTAGTTACAAATCATACAAACCTGAAAATGCTGTAGTTATGGAAACGTGCCAGGAATAACCAAATAGGCACACCTGAAAAAAAAAGGTGGCTCGCAAATCTTGAAATCCACAACTATGAAATACAGACAGAATGTGTGTATACGAGTGCTCGCACTATGGTTTAATACATATGTATAATTAGGGCTGTACCGAAGAGTGATTTTCACAATTCGGCCGAATACGCAAACGAATAGTGTATCAAAAAGGTGTCTCGAAAGGCTTGAAAATCCGATCAACTAGCATGTATAGTTCAGTGCTGACAGCCAATGTGCGATGTCCTATTTTGTATTACTTCTATGAGTCGCCATTCAATACACTACATGTATGTTTGTATGACACATAATGTATGCAGCATGTATTAGTTCGGTGCTGACACACGCCACAGTCCGCGATCTCCTGCACTGTATTAGTCGTGCCTGAACACGACAATCCGCGATCTCCTGCAGTGTATTAGTTCGTCACACATCACAATCCGCGATCTCCGCAGCATGTATTAGTTCGTGTGCGATTATGCCTCGCCACAATCCGCGATCGATCTATTAGTTCGTGTGCTGACACACCTCGCCACAATCTGCGATCTCCTGCAGCATGTATTAGTTCGTGTGCTGACACACCTCGCCACAATCCGCGATCTCCTGCAGCATGTATTAGTTCGTGTGCTGACACACCTCGCCACAATCTGCGATCTCCTGCAGCATGTATCAGTTCGTGTGCTGACACAATTCCATGCCATGCAACAAGACTGTCAAGAATCTTCTCTTGTTGTCTTCCTCTATCCCTCCTTCCACAGATCTTTCTAGTGGTCACCACATGTTGCATTTTTACGCCCATAAAATGGCCGAAAAATTTTGACTGTCTCCTTCTGATTTCTGTGATTAGTTGTCTTCGGGTTCCTACATTTTTTTAAATCTCTAAGTTTTTTTTTTTTTTTTTTTTTTTTTCCAAGGTATTTTAAGCATTGTTCTGTAAAACCACATTTCTGAGGCCTCAAGAAATTGTTTGGCCTACCTTACGATTGTCCAGGACTCGCAGCCATATGTTAAAATGGGATGTACGTGGCAAGCAATAATTCTTTTTCTAACCTTCAATGACAAAGATATATTACATAAGATGTTCTTCATTTTTTAAAATGCAGTTTTTACCTGTCCTTTTCTGTTTGTTATTTCAGGAAAGCATCTTCCATCTGATGTTATCTATGTGCCAAATTCGCATTTAAATCATCTTTCGCTCCACCTTTCGTTCGATGTAATTTAAACGCACCTTTATATTCTCGTTAGCAATATCTTTAAATTTGATTTGGGCAAAGACACCCTGAAAGGACAAAAAATACATGATCTTTTTCTCTCTCTTCTCTCTCTCTCTCTCTCTCTCTCTCTCTCTCTCTCTCTCTCTCTCACACACACACACACACACACACACACATAAGCAACAACAAAAACACATTGCGTTTAAATATAAGTGCTTACTTAACGAGGCTAACAGTTACTATTGTACAGACCAAATTGTCCACTTTAAAATGTCAGCCAAAATGTAATCACAACCTTACTTATCCGCTGCACCTTCACAAATACAGATGGAGGACCGGTCGTACCTCGAGATAAATACAATTTTTAGCACGCTGCAGTTGGCATTTTATGAGTGTGAAACAAGGAACAAAAACTCTTTTCGACAATGGCGAGGAGAGACAATTTAAATTTTAAATTTGAAGCATCTTCATGCCTTTTTTTAAACAATGTTACAATTTATAGCCGACTTTTCTTTATTTTCAACACGGCACCCCTGGCATACGCACCCAGTTTGAGAACCTCTGCTTTAATGCCTCGGTCGAGTCAGCAGACAAAGATCTTGCCAACTGCAGTACCACGCAACCAGGTTGCAATTTTTCCCGCTATGACAGACTTGGGCAACAGCAACTATTGTGTAAATGAGAGGGTTATTTCAGTCCATCGCAGTGCATGCAGAAACGAGTGTAAGGTAACCACTATTGGTATTTAGCCCGACCGCAAGTATTCGGCCGAATACCGAATAGGTATTAGGTCCACTATTTGGCCCCGAAGCGAATACGAAGCGAATATTCGGTACAGCCCTAATATATTTATACATTTAAACATAAAATTTGTCTAGGTCCTCAGGGATCCCCTCTTTTTTATTTGTCTGTATATTTTGATAGCTATGGGGTGTACGATCTCACCCATACTGTTTGTCATGGCCATGCAGATCATGTTAGACGGGGCGGCCGGCTACGGACAAGGCCTTCAAATTAGGGATCACTGGATGCCGCCACTAAGCGCATTTATGGATGACACGACTATTATAACGGGCAGCGAGGAGTCTGCCCGCACGATCCTGAAAAGATTGGACGCGGTGGTCCAATGGAGCGGAATGCAGTTCAAACCGCAGAAGTCGAGGAGTCTGTCTATCCTTAAGGACAAGGTGTCGGCAACCAGTTTTACGGTGGCAAGGAACAAGATCTCCACGGTTCTTAAGGAACCGGTGAAGAGCCTCGGTCGCGTTTACGATTCGAAGTTATCTGATAGAGCGGAGGTCCGGCGAATACACGAGTCACTGGCTACAGGCCTGCTCGCGATCGAGCGTTGCAGGCTGGTCGGGAAATTCAAGGTATGGTGTCTCCAATTCATGTTGATTCCAAAGCTCCTATGGCAACTGTTAGTCTACGAGGTGACGATGACTGCAGTGGAAACCATGGAGAGAAAGATCAACACAGCCTTGAGAAAGTGGATTGGAGCACCGCCTTGTCTGACCGACGTGGCTCTGTATTGCAAGCAGGCTAAGCTGGTACCCCCGTTCAAATCAATAACCGAAGAGTTTAAAGTCGGCAAAGTAAGACTCGCCATGCTCTTACGCGAGTCTTCAGACCCAGATGTCATCGCTGTCCAGCCCGCTCTAAAGACTGGCCAGAAGTGGAGATAATGAAGGAGATAATGGGATACACTCAAACCGACCGTCGAGGCCTAGGGCACGGGAAGGTCAATTGGTGGTCAAAGGCCTCAGCCAAAGAACGCCGAGACATGGTAATACAAATGGTGAGGGACAACGAAAACGAGGTTCGGGTCCAGAAAGCAGCCCAGCAGTCGCAGCAGGGCCATTGTGTCAGCCTGGAGAGCGCATTGCCAAGAGTACTCACATGGGGTGAGATCTGGCGAATGACCCCGTTGCGACTGAGCTTTATCGTTCGTTCGGCGTACGATGTATTACCGTCCGGTGTTAACATGGTTAAGTGGTCTGCGACCAACGATCCGACTTGCCCGTTGTGTAAAGCGAAGCAGACGCTAGAACAAGTCCTGTCCGCGTGCAGGAAAGCCCTAGGCCAAGGCCGATTTACCTGGCGACACAACAAGGTGCTAAAAGAGTTCGCAACCGTTGTTGACCAGGCTAGAATGAGGGCTAACGCTAGAGCCAGTTCTACTATCGTCCCCATACGTTTCAAGGCTGGGCAGGTTCAAAAAGGTAAGGTCAACCGAAACGCATTCGCTCCATCTGTGCTAGACTCTGCGAGGGACTGGTTACTGGCGGTTGATCTGCCAGGCCATGAACGGTACCCCGAGTTAATCCGGAAGACCGGTCTGCGACCTGACATAGTTCTCCACTCTGCGGAGAAACGGCAGCTCATCCTGATAGAGTTGACCTCCCGTATGAGTCGCGTATGGATGAAAATCACCTGTATAAGCTCGAGAAATACAGTGATTTAGCAGCCGGTTTGAGGAGAAACGAGGCGTACACAGTACGTGTCTTTGCCGTCGAAGTGGGAGCGAGAGGTCTCGTCTCCACTTCA